ATGGAAAAGTATTGATTAATTTGTGTGAACTCTCTGGTGTTCTTGCCAGTCCCTCTGCTTTCCTATTAAAAACTGACTACACTAAGCATGAGAGCTCAGTGTAGTCAGTTCTCTAGCTGTGCTGGGATCTCTCCTCCAGTGATCAGGCTTGTCATGTCATGACCTAACCCTCCGTTTCTCCTTTTCTAGCTCTTATGCAGCTGAGAATGGGAACAGATTGTATGTAATCACTTATAAACCGAATGGTTTGTTTTACAAGGTGAGGGTTAGCAATCCCTTAAATATACCTGCTATATAAAGAGATTGTAAAGTTAAATTAAAAACATTGAAGTGCTTTATAAGCAAAATACAATGCCTTTCCCTCTGTGAAAATGACATGGATCTCCTAAAAAATGGACTCTCCTAAAAAAAACTAAAGGAACACTTTTTAAGAGTATAGAATCAAGTCAATTAAACTCCCGGGATCTTGATCTGGTCAGTTAAGTAGCAGAGGAGGTTGTTTCAGCTGCTTTTGTGTTAATGAAATTAACAACAGGTGCACTAGATGTATCCTTTCATTTCCATCAAACAATGGGGCATCCTTACATTAATAACACATTACCCAGTCCATATCAGTATAGATATCCAGCATGATATTTGGCCTCAGTGAGATCTGATGTGTTTTCAAAGTGTTTAATTTTTTTTGAGCAGTGTATATACAATACCACATTGCCATTGTAAAGGATCCTAATCATTCAACTTCATTTAACAAGTCGCACCACACATTTCCCAGCTTTGTTGGTTGCAAAGTGACATTTACAAAACATAACCAGCCTCTGAAAAAAAATTTCTCTGGACTTTAGGTCCACTGGTTCTCATTGATGCTGCCATTAGCAAAGTATCCCCATGCCAACTTACCTCTTTACTAGTTTGTGGTCTTTTAAAATATCAGCAGCCAAAGCTTAATTAATACATCAAATCTGTGTTAGGCAGAGGTACTAATTCTGGGATGTCCTAACAATGGCCTGCAGGTCAAAGCCGGCCCACCGCAAGATTTTATCTAGCCCACAGTTAGCTTAGTGGTCTCTCACATTGGTCTCACAAAGATCTACAGGTCAGCCTACGTTCTCTATTCCTCCATCCAGAGCTCCCCCCCCCCCCCCCCCCTGCCTGCTTGCTGCTGCAGCCATGCTTTCAGGATCTCCAGGGTTCTAGAGGGACCCTGATGTACAAGGGGACTTTGATAGGGACTCTGATGTAAAGGGTACTCTAATGTAAGGAGGGACTCTAAAGGGGACCCTGATGTAAGGGAGGACTCTGATGTAAAGGGTACTGTGATGTCCAACTCTAATGTAAGGGCAGACTTTGAAGGGGAGTTTGATGTGAGGGAGACTCTGATGTGGACCCTGATGTATGGAGATAAGCTGATGGGCTCAAGTTTTTTTTGGGATGTCTTTGCTTTGTTTTCCTGAAGTTCTTTCCCTGTGGTGCTAAACCATATTATGATGATTGCAAAAAGTAAAAATTATTAATCCATTTAAATTGTATTCATTCATTTATAAAACTGATTTGATTTTCATCCCATGAAAAATTGTAATATCAACAAGGTGGCCCTTGTACTGAAAAGTTTGGAGACCCCTGCTCTAGTTGCATCTATTCACATGAACAAAGGATTGCAAAGGGGATGGAAAAATAGGAGATAAGGAGTACAGATAACAGAGGGAAAGTAAATAGGAGGCAGCAAAAGCAAAAGTGAAGAATGAAAAGAAGGCATGTGGAGATTAGATTGTAGAAAAGAGAGGGAAAAGAAGCAATTAGAGAGGAGGTGATAATGAAAGGAGTGAGACCGGTTTGTAAATACTGTAAATACTATTTGCCGGCGTATAAGACAACTTTTTACCCCTTAAAAATCTTCTCAAAAGTCGGGGGTCGTCTTATACGCCGGTATACGGCATACTGACACTTTTTAGGGGGGCGGCGCGTTGCCGCCGCCGCCCCCCCCCCTTCCCCCAATGGAAGGGACACTAAGTACAGGGGTGGGCAGCGGCTGTTTCTTACCTGGTTCCGGTCCCACGACGATCCGGTCCAGGAAGCGCGGCTGCGCCTTCAGTTCAGTCACTGGATGTTCGTGCGGCTGCTCGGCTCCGCCTCCTCACCAGTGATTGGCCGCCAGAACTGTAGCTCAGGAAAGGCACACAGGCGGCCAATCACCGGCGAGGGGGTGGAGCCGAGCGGCCCTGCGAAAATCGAGTGCAGGACCAGCAGGTAAGTGGTCAGTGTAGAGGTGCTGCTGCAACCACATATGCTGGCTGCAGCAGCACCATACGAGAACAGGGTCAGCAAGTGTCAGTGGGAGGAATAGTGCCCCATCATTGGTGTCACTGATACCAATGATGGAGCACTATTCCTCCCACTGATACCAATGATGGGGCACTATTCCTCCCACTGACACCAACGATGGGGCACTATTCCTCCCACTGACTCCAACGATGGGGCACTATTCCTCCCCCCCCACTGACACCAATGATGGGGCACTATTCCTCCCCCCCACTGACACCAACGATGGGGCACTATTCCTCCCCCCCACTGACATCAACGATGGGGCACTATTCCCCCGCCCCCCCACTGACACCAATGATGGGGCACTATTCCACCCCCCACTGACACCAATGATGGGACACCATTCCTCCCACTGACACCAATATTGGGACACCATTCCTCCTACTGACACCAATGATGGGGCACTATTCCCCCCACTGATACTAATGATGGGGCACTATTCCTGCCACTAATGCCAATGATGGGGCACTATTCCTGCCACTGATACCAATGATGGGGCACTATTCCTGCCACTGATACCAATGATGGGGCACTATTCCTGCCACTGATACCAATGATGGGGCACTATTCCTGCCACTGGTGTGCATTGTAAGAGGGGTAGTCTTATACGGCGAGTATAGCTCAAACACTAAATTTTAGCAGGAAAAGTAGGGGGGTCGTCTTATACGCCCAGTCGTCTTATACGCCGGCAAATACGGTAGTAAAACTATAGATAAATTAAATTCCTTTGTGGCTGTTACACGACATCTCCTATTTTATATGAAGTCACTGCTGGAAGATTTCCCATTTCTAGGTGCTGTGATAGCACATAACAACAGGACAAAACAGCTGTTAAAGTGATTGTAAAGTGATTACAACACTGTACCCAAATGAAATATATATCATTTTTTCACACAAATAGAGCTTTCTTTTGGTGGTATTTGATCACAACTGCTTTTTTTTATTATGTAAATGAAAAAAAGATAGAACACTTTGAAAAAAAACTAAATTTTTTTTTTACTTTGTGCTATAAAACATATCCAATAAAACATTTTAAAAATCAAATTTCTTCATAAATTTAGGCCAAAATGTATTATGCTACACGTCTTTGGTAAAAAAAAAATTCCAACAAGTGTATATTCATTGGTTTGTGTGAAAGTTATAGGGTCTACAAACGATGATATACTATATATTGGAATTTGTTTTTTTTTTCATACTAGTAATAGCAGTGATCAGCAAATTATAGTGGAACTGTTATAATGCAGCAGGCTATCTGACACTAACTGAGGCCGGGTGGGAACTGACCAAATAACAATGACATCTCCAGTAACACTAATACAGTGAACAGTGTTAACAATATACACTGTAACTATACTAATAACAATGGCTGGGGAGGAGTTCACATTTAAGGGCAATCACAGGGTTAACGGTGTGCCTACCAATGTTTACTGTGTGTACTGTGTTCTGTTTTACTAAGCAATATGCCGATTTTTAATCTCTGCTGTCCTTAGAAAGCCCTGTGTTGTTTACCAACACAAGGTTCTCTTCTGTCATTCGCTGAGGTGATCAGTGGCTTCCGGCCATAAATCATTAGCTGGACCCACTGACTGGCATGTGCTTTAGCAAATGACAGGACAGCCAGGAAGGCAGGAGTGCACATGCATGCCCCCTACCCAGAAGAGCAGAAGCATACACATGTATGTGATCTGGTGCAGGGGGTGCTCTGCCCCATTATATTTGCGGTAGGTGGCTTGGAAGTGGTTAAAATATTAAAGATGTTATACATACCTGTTCCAACATAATTGCACAGAGTAGTTCCTTACCTTCTCTTTTTTTCAGTACCACACTGGCACTGCCCACTCCTCCTTCTTGTGGTTACCCCCTCAGCAAGTTGGGTATTAAGGGGGCACCCATGCAGGCGCGTTCTCGAGTCAGACTGTGTGCATCCATAGATACATACAGCTCCAGTAAACCATTCTCCTTTTCCCTTTTTACAGGAGTTTTACTAATAGCAGCAGGAGCCAATGGCTCTTGCTGTTCTAAGCATCTCTTGTGAGACCAGGAAGTGAGCCAGGGCAGTGCTGGATCGATAACTTCAGTAAGTGTTTAGGAATGGGGGTGAGTAGAATAGGTAGTGGGGAGTTTTTTTTACCTTAATGCAAATATTGCATTAAGGTTAAACAGAATTTTTAATGTAGAACCACTTTAAACACCCAGAAGCTCTCATTGACTGTAGGCCCTTCTCTGATCAAAGATGGGTATATCTACTTAGGGACACTAGCCCAACATATTGTATTGAAAGTGGCCATGGGGACAAATGTCTCCTCCAGGTCTGTTCTCCACTGGGCAAGTTAATTGACCTCCCTTTATACCTGCCCTAGTGTGTATGTGTGTTTGTTTGTGTACATGTATGTCTGTATGGCTATGGTGGAGAAATTAGATTGTGAGCTTCTTTAACCACCTACCGACCGCAGATAGCCGAATGACGGCTACACTGCGGCCGGCCAGTTCTGGGAGGGCGTCATATGACGTCCTCTCAGAACGCACTCTCCTGTGCACCCCCGGGGGCGTGCACCCGGCGATCTCCATGATCGCAGTGTCCTACGGACACAGCTGATCGCGTGATGTGGTAAAAGGCCAGTCACAGCGGCCTTTTACCACATGATCAGCCGTGATCAATGACACGCTGATCACTGGGAAATGCAATTGCCGGTTCTCGGCTGCACTTTCCTCACGCTGTCAGAGCGCGAGGAAAGTACTGCCGAGAACCGGCAGTTGTCAGAGCAGGGATTGGTACCGATCATCAGGGCACTGATCATCAGTGCCCTGATGATCAGTGCCCAGCAGTGCCACCCACCAGTTCCGCCCACCTGTGCCCAGCAGTGCGCCCACCTGTGCCCAGTAGTGTGCCCACATGTGCCCAGCAGTGCACCCACCTGTGCCATGCAGCAGTGCCACACACCTGTGCTCAGAAGTGCCACCTACCTGTGCCCAGCAGTGCCACCCACCTGTGCCCACCCACATGTGCCCATCAGTGCCACCCACCTGTGCCCACCAGTGCCACCCACCAGTGCCCATCAGTGCAGCCCAGCAGTGCTGCCATTCAGTGCCACCAGTCAGTGCCCAGCGGTTTTGCCAGTCAGTGCCCAGCAGTTGTGCCAGTCAATACCTAGCAGTGCCGCCAGTTAGTGCCCAGCAGTGATGCCAGTCAGTGCCACCTATCAGTGCTGTCTATCAGGGCCACCTATCAGTGCCGCCTATCTGTGACACCTCATTAGTGCTGCCTATCAGTGCTGCTTATCAGTGCCCATCAGTGCCGCCTATTAGTGCCCATCAGTGCTGCCTCATCAACGCACATCAGTGAAGGAGAAAAATTACCTGTTTGAAAAATGTAATAATAGAAACAAAGAAACTTTTTTTTCTTTACAAATTTTTGCAATTTTTTTTGTTTTATAGCGCAAAAAGTAAAGTGCCCAGCTGCGAGTAAATACCACCAAAAGAAAGCTCTATTTGTGAGAAAAAAATGATAAAAATTTCATATTGGTACAATGTTGCATGACTGCGCAATTGTCATTCAAAGTGCGACAGTGCTGAAAGCTGAAAATTGGCCTGGAAAAGAAGGGGGTATAAGTGCCTTGTAGACAAGTGGTTAAGGGAAAAACATTGGTATAAATTGACTAATAATGTTATTTTTAATGCATTCTAAGTGATTTTGGTGCCACTATTATATAACATAATTAAATAAAGCTTTGGATCACTGCAAGGTAAAAACATATACATTCATTGTACAGTACACTGAGGTTAGTTCAGAAATGCATGATGCTGAACCCTTTTCCTCCTCAGAGACTGATGACTTTCTCTCTAGTCTTAAAACAATCCTTCTGACAAGCACAACATGTTTTCTAATGCAAGAAGGTCTGAACATCTCTGTCGGTTAAGCAAAGGCTGTGTTGCACAAATGCTGAATGATCAATATTCCCTCATACTATTTTATGGTTCAATATTTTGAATTGTACAGCTGTAACCTTTCAGTTGGATTGTTAGAATTTCATTTTTGAGCTTCATCCTTCAATAAGTCAAATTACTTTTAATCAAAATGTCAGATCTCATGTTATACTTATTCAGACCTGCCACATTTAGTTTTTATAAATTCAATTATTTCATAACTATGTTCTTCTTTGTTCCTTCTTAGGTCAACACGCTGCTATTGATAATTTTTGAAAAATTAACTGATAAATATGCCCTTAATTGGACAAATTTATGGCCCAAGATGAACATTTTGGATCTCCAATTTCAATAATTGACTCTTGACATTATGGGCTGTTATCTACTTGGATATTGAACAACAGAAATGGAAGATATAGGGGTTGATTTGCTAAAACTGGGGAGTGCAAAATCTGGTGCAGCTCTGCATGTAAGCCAACCAACTTCCTTTTTTTATTGTCCAAGTTTAATTGAGCAAGCTGAAGTTAGAAGCTAAATGGCTACCATGCACAGCTGCACCAGATTTTTCACTCTCCATATGCTTTTCTACAAATGCCTTTACTGTCATCTACATGATATGAGTTTTTGGCACAGGTCAGGTCAGTTCAGTTGGACATAGAGGGGACAGACCCTTGGGAAATGACTACAATGGATATACCCAGAGCAGCACAGTGGCTAAATGGTTAGCACTTCCACCTGGCAGTACTAGGGTCATTCATTTGAATCTCAACCATAGCACCACCTGCTTGGAGTTTGCATGTTCTCCCTTTGCCTGCATGGGTTTCCTCCAGGTACTCCAGTTTTCTCCCACACTTCAAAGACATGATGGTAGGTTAATTGGCTCCTGTCTAAATTGGCCCTAGTATGTGTATGTATGAATGTGAGTTAGGGACCTTAGATTGTACACTCCTTGAGGGTTAGGGACTGATGTGGATGTACTATATACAATATCTCACAGAAGTGAGTACACCCCTCACATTTTTGTAAATATGTTATTATATCTTTTCATGTGACAACACTGAAGAAATTACACTTTGCTGTAATGTATAACTTTACACTTACACTTTGCTTGTATAACAGTGTATATTTGCTGTCCCCCCTCAAAATAACTCAACACACAGCCATTAATGTCTAAACCGCTGGCAACAAAAGTGAGTACACCCCTAAGTGAAAATGTCCAAATTTGGCCCAATTAGCCATTTTCCGTCCCCGGTGTCATGTGACTCATTAGTGTTACAAGGTCTCAGGTATGAATAGGGAGCAGGTATGTTAAATTTGGTGTTATTGCTCTCACTCTCTCATACTGGTCACTGGAAGTTCAACATGACACCTCATGGCAAAGAACTCTCTGAGGATCTGATAAAAAGAAGTGTTGCTCTATATAAAGATGGCCTAAGCTATAAGAAGATTGCCAAGACCCTGAAACTGATCTGCAGTACGGTGGCCAAAACCATACAGTGGACTAACAGGACAGGTTCCTCTCAGAACAGGCCTCACTATGGTCGACCAAAGACGTTGAGTGCAGATGCTCAGCTTCATATCCAGAGGTTGTCTTTGGGAAATAAATGTATGAGTGCTGCCAGCATTGCTGCAGAGATTGAAGGGGTGGGGGGGTCAGCCTGTCAGTGCTCAGACCATATGCCGCACACTGAATCAAATTGGTCTGCATGGCTGTTGTCCCAGAAGGAAGCCTCTTCTAAAGATGATGCACAAGAAAGTCCGCAAACAGTTTGCTGAAGATAAGCAGACTAAGGACATGGATTACTGGAACCATGTCCTCTGGTCTGATGAGACCAAGATAAACTTCTTTGGTTCAGATGGTGTCAAGCGTGTGTGCAACTAGGTGAGGAGTACAAAGACAAGTGTGTCTTGTCTACAGTCAAACATGGTGGTGGGAGTGTCATGGACTGGGGCTACATGAGTGCTACCGGCACTAGGGAGCTACAGTTCATTGAGGGAACCATGAATGCCAACGTGTACTGTGACATACTGAAGCAGAGCAAGATCCCCTCTCTTCGGAGACTGGGCCACAGGGCAGTATTCCAACATGATAACGACCCCAAACACACCTCCAAGATGACCACTGCCTTGCTAAAGAAGCTGAGGGTAAAGGTAAAGGTAATGGACTGGCCAAGCATGTCTCCATACCTAAACCCTATTGAGCATCTCTGGGGCATCCTAAAATGGAAAGTGGAGGAGCGCAAGGTCTCTAATATCCACCAGCTCCATGATGTTGTTATGGAGGAGTGAAAGAGGACTCTAGTGGCAACCTCTGAAGCTCTGGTGAGCTCCATGCCCAAGAGGGTTAAGGCAGTGCTGAAAAATAATGGTGGCCGCACAAAATATTGACACTTTGGGCCCAATTTGGACATTTGCACTTAGGGGTGTACTTTTGTTGGATGCAGTTTAGACATTAATGGCTGTGTGTTGAATTATTTTGAGGAGACAGCAAATTTACACTGTTATACAAGCTGTACACTCACTACGTCACATTGTAGCAAAGTGTCATTTCTTCAGTGTTGCCACATGAAATGATAGAATAAAATATTTACAAAAATGTGAGGGGCGTACTCACTTATGTGAGATACTGTATATGTATAGCGTTGCATAAGTTGACAGCGATATATAAGTACCTAAAATAATAATACCCTTTAACAACATCAACAGGCTTCATGTACAGGAGGTACAGAAAACAAAGGGTGGATCCTGTATTACCTAGATGTTCACCTTCCCAGTGAGACTGTTGACAAATAGATGCTCTATATAAAACAATACTATTTCCTTCCCCTTAGCTGTTCTATACATGTCATATATAAATATTCTGAATGGGGTTTAATGAAGCAAGCTCTGCATTTACAACTATTCACATAACCCTCCTTCATTAGACTTATCTCTATAATGTAAATATTAATACATACATTTTCTGTCAATTATAATTTATATCCAACTGTTATACACAACATCTGTGACCTTTATATTATTATAATGTGACTTTTTACAGTCCACACACTTGCTGTTTGTAGTTGGAACATCATAGTGAAAAAATATTTATTTAATGACTATAGACTGCTTTGCCATTAAAGATAAACTGAATTTTCATTATATTGAAAAAGGATTTCCTGTTGTATCCCCAACTATCCATACCACCATAACTTGTAACAAACACAAAAAAGACCACCTACAACCCTCTCCCTTGGGAATTTACATTAGCTATGGTGCTTTTGTTGCTATCACACTGAGCACCTCTCTAAACCAAGGCAGGATTCAAAAGACTCCCTTTAGAAATATTTATTGAATGAGGCTAAATATGGATCATTTGATATACAGATAATAACACAATAACTGCATATTTCTTTTACTTGATTTGCTCAAAATATATACTGATGTGGTCCATGCTGCACTGTGGATTTAACCACCCTTTAGCTTCAAGAATCTGTTGGGCAATTTTCTGTGAGTCATCTGCATTCGAGTTTCCAAATCTGCCCAATGTGACTATTACAAGGAACATTAGTCAAAATTGTGGGTTCTTTATAGCCATTTTGTTAATCAGTAACAGTTAAAGCAATACATTGTTTTAAAACAAACTAAACTTGTAACAGCACTACTTTTTTTGTTACACATTTCTATACACATTATATTTAAACTAAATAAAAAAAACTAAACTTGAGACAGCGCTACTGTTTCTGTGTCATAAACCACACATTATTACCCTCTTAATAAAATAAATACACTAAAAACTACTGTGCAATCAATATTTATGTACCATAAATAAATAATATCAATGTATCACTATTACAATGCTTAATCAAAATCATGCACATACATAGTTTATAAATCAATATAAAGTGTCCGTGCTCCAAAAAATAAAGTGCATCAAATAAAGTGTTCTGTGCTCCAACAGCATGCGTACTGTATATCTTCATTATCTAACAATCTTCAATTTTCAACCACAGTGTGTGCACCCTTATGTGGCCACACGGGAATACTTCATTTGATGCACTTTATTATTTGGCACATGGGGCGCTTTATATTGATTCATGAACTTTGTATGCACATTGCTTCATTTTTTAATGAACATTGTAATAGAGATAAATTGATATTATGTATTTATCACTGATAAACATTAATTTCAAATTCATAATTCGGCACTGATATTATATTGATGGCAAGCTTGCAAAATATTTGGTTTTTATGATTAATCATAATTATTATTAAAATGTGTGATTGGCCTGGAACCAGTGATAGTGATAATTTCTTCAGTTATAGCTGAGACAGGAGTTAGTTAAGCTAACTGTCTAAAAGCTGAGTATTCTATAAAAAGGCATAGCTGGTTAAAGGACTTAGTGTTGTTTCGGACTAGGTCACCTACAGACCATTTAC